GGCTGCCTGCTGTATTCTTGCGTACATGCGTTCGCAATCTCGTGCTTGATAGCCGAATTCTCAACAGTGAGCACAACCTCGGCACTCTACACTCTTGTGTCTGGAAGAGCTGTAAAGTCTCGTCGAGCTCTTCCAGATCCTACGGCAAGCACTTCGTCACCAGAAAACTCTAACAAATTGGGTAGCAAATCCGGTGCTAAGTCCTCTCGGAGCGGCATCCGCACAATTCGTGGGGTGAACTCGGCCTGCTCGAAACCACGTACCTTGCAATCCTCTTGACGAACTTCTTTCAGTTCCCCGTAGTGGCTCAAAAGCTTTCTTCGGCGTCTCTCCTGTCCCATTAAATGGCACCCACTGCGCTTTCAATGTGATGTTTTGCTGTACCGCATCTCATCATCATCATCAGTCTGACTACGTTCACTGCAGAACAAAAGGCCTCTCCCTTGTTCCTGCCAGTCCACACGGTCCTGTCCTTGCTGCTGTCAATTTATACCCCGAAACTTCTTAACCTCATCTGCCCTCTCACCTTACACCTGCCCCTAACCCGCTTGCCTTCGCTAGGAATCTATTTAGTCACCCGTCATTATTAACGATTATCCTGTCTCACGACCTTCTCTATAAACTTACGACCTGCTGATGCCACCGCTCCGCATGTCGCCAGGTTCGCTTTTGCTTGTTTATTTTTTTGTTCACAAAAGTACCACAGCACGCTTGGTGCCACAACTAACCCTCACTGCTGCAGCCGCCAAAGTGCTTTCCTTCGTGGTGCATGCGTGCGTTGACTCGTTTTTGTGCCATTCGAAGGTTAGCGTTTGTCGGGATATTTGTTCAGGACTCGGGATTGTTAGGTTACGACAGGTACAGCACTATTCACGTAATGGTGTACTGCTGCGTTCCATTCCGCAAGGCGAGCAGCCGGGGGTCAACTGGGATATAGCTTGACGAGTTTCCCGTCAATTAGATTTGAGAGCATCAATGCTAAAAGCCAGTTGGAAGGCAACGTTTAGACTGATACAAGCGCTTCTAGAAAACATTATTCCCTTTACGCAAATGAAATGAGAGAAAAACTGTTGTAATTTAATGCGTTTTATTTTGCTGCTCCAGTGATAAAAGCTTGGTGACATCGCCGGTGAGACACACGCAGAAACGCCAGCGGCGCTCGAACACTGGCAATAACTGCAACGAACGGCTGCAGGTGCGAGAAATCGCTGTAACAACAATGCGGTAATCCGCCGGTATTATCGCGCTTCCACCGATCGTTCGACGTTCGGCAGACAATAGCACAACTACTCCTTTCTATTGTTAACCGTGAAAAGCAGGAACATTTAGAATACCGTTTGCAAGCGCTGCGGGCGTTGCGGGCGAAGCGGGCGCCATAAGAGCTTTAGAATAGCGTTTGCCCTGCTGCGAACCACAACGCACGATCACAGCGACACTGTAGCCTCGAAACCAGCGCTTGCGGGCCACATGCGGGCCACCATCACCGCACGCAATTTCGGATTTTCTGCGTGTGGTCCGCGAACGCGAACGGACTCGCGTTACAACGCATGCACAGTGACAGCGACCGCACCGCAAGGGCTCGCAGGTGCGCTATTCGAAAACTCCCCAGTATCATTGAAGGACGATATGAAAGGCATGAAAACCTACATGGGTCATCGCATGCGTTGTTAGTACAGTATGCGTCTTTATTTGCGTCGAAGAAATTCCGATTTCAGGTTCCAACTCGTTGCAAGATCGCAGTCTTGCCCACGAACAAAACATTTCCTGCACCTCCTAGAAAGCATTTATGTCGGGCGCACTGCGCAAAACAAACGGGTGGCGTGTCGCATATTTCTAGCGTGCGCCTGCGCTTAGACGGGGACACAAAAGTGCTCACGCAGATTGAGTTCTTATAGAGTTCCTGTAATAAACATCCCAGAGCCAACCACGATAGGCGCTTCTCACAGCTAGAATGTTGCTTCAAATTATTAAATCTGTAGGTTGCTCTATCCGCGCGTTATAAATAGGATGAAAATTGCAGAAACGCGCGCATACGAGTGCCCCACTACGGCACCCCATCGTCTGCTATGAGGGTAAGTTGTGGCGGCAGCTCGCGGTATCTCTCGTCCGTAAGCTCCAATTTTCAGGCCCACACGCCTCCATAGGGTTGGCGCCGGTGAGTAGTTTGTAAGTTTATACAATACGTCGTGTCCTGTCTACGCGCTACATTACCAGCCCATGTACATTTTCTCTTCTTGATTTGAACTATGATATCCTGAATCCCGGTTTGTTGCCTAATCCACTCTGCCCTCTTCTGCTCTCTTAAGGTTACGCATACTATTTTTCTTTCCATTTATGGCTACGTCGTCCTCAATTTGAGCTGAACCCTCTTTGAAGTCTCCACGTCTCTGCTCCATAGCTAAGTAGCCAGCAAGATACAGCTGCTATATATCTTATTCTTGAGGAATAGATGGCTATCTACCCGTCAACGCTTGAGAGTTCTTGCCAAATGTGCTTCACCCCATTCTTATTCTTCTAGTTACTTTATTTCCGTGCTTCGGCTCTGCGGTCAATAATTGTCCTAAAGTAGACCTACTCTTTAAGAACTTCAAGCTCATTATTACCTATGTCAATGTGCTGCTCGAATCCGAGGCTGTTGTACATTGCTTTCGTTTTCTGCAGATTATTTTACTCTATTTCTGCTCTATTTGTCTAACTCCGTAATCATGAATTGCAATTCGTCCACTGAGTTACACAGCTTTGCAATCTCAGCGGCGAGGCGCAGGTTACTAAGGTACTCTCCATCATCTCTTATACCTAACTAGTTCCCATTCTAGGCCTCTGAAAACGTCCTGTAAGCACGCGGTAAATAGTATTGGGTACATGGCATCCCCCTGCTTTACACCCTTCTTTTTCTTCCAGGGTGTTTATAAATGCTTCGTCAGCGCCCTGATTCTGCAGGTGCCTGCATGACTCCTGATATTTCTACTGCATCAAACGCTTTCTCAGTAATCTATGAAGGCTATGTATAGTGGTTGGCTATATTCGGAGAATTTCTCTATTATCTGATTAAGGGTATGAATTTGTTGGATTGTTGAGTAGCCTGTTCGAATCCTGCTTGTTCCTGTGGTAATTGAAATCTAATGTTGTCTTAATTTTCTTAGCACTAAACTTCGTAGCTAGCTTGTATACTACGGAGAGCAAACTGATTGGCCTGTAATTCTTCAAGTCCTTGTCATCTCCTTTATTATGCATAAAGATGAAGCTAGCATTCTATCAAGATTATGGTGCTCTTCCCATCAGAAGACACCTGATGAACAGGGCGGCTAGTTTTTCTAACAAAATCTTTCCTTCGTTTTTCAGCAGGTCTGATGTTACCTGATTATCACCAGCAGCTTTGCCTTTTTGCATGCTCTCCAAAGCTTTTAATTTCTTCTATCAGTGTTGGTGGGGTGTCATCTACGTTACTGCTAGTTCTTGTATTAGGTCGTGATTGTCCTGGAAGCTGTACAGATCTCTGTAAATTTTCGCTCTTTTAACTGTCCTACCCACATCGGTAGTTTTATTGCCTTCTTTGTCCGTAGGAGAATACATCTGATATTTGCCTATCCCAAGTTTCCTCTTCAGTGCTTCGACGCTTCCATTGTTTTTCAGAATGTGTTCATTTATCTTCCTGCGTTACTATATTTAAGCGGAAACCTTCGGCTTTATATTCAACTTCGAAAGATTTACTAATTTGTTTTGCCTGTTGTACTTGAGGCTTTCATGCTTTGACGCTTCCTAATGAGATTCTTCGTTTCCTGCGACAGCTTGGCAGTTGGCTGTTTAACTACAGTACCACCAACTTCCAGTGCACACTCCGTAATGATACTCGTCAGATTATCATTCAATGCGTCAACACTAATGTTGGTTTTCTAAAAAATGGCCGAGTAGGACAGCACAAAATCAGCCCTTCTACCTCAAGGCCACCCACGATCAACATCAGCTTCCTTTACTTCACGCGTTCATACCTTCATCAGCCTGACATGCGTCAACTGGAAACGGTCCTTATACCGGTCACGCCTTTTATCACATCTTGTTCCTACAGTAGCTCACGCAAATCTTCGAGACTGGTATGGCCTTCCAGTGGCGTCGCATTGCAATAACAAAGTCTTTCATAGTTTCACCTGATGGCACAGTCGGTAGTACGTACTGGTAATCTGGTGGGGCATCAAGAGGCCTGGCATCCTAGGCCAAACGCGGCCACTGAACCTGCTGTCAGTGACCTCAACTTCTTGCGTCCGAACGTGTCAGTGTCCAGAGGCAGACTTGCCACCAAAGAGCACGAAACTCAACGTTCAAATCTATAACTACCACTTACCTATCTATACCTACCACTTACCGCTGCTGACAGGCATCTCGAGGGCAAACTACCGCGTTTTCTGCATTACCAGCAAGATGGCGCAATGAGCGCGTGTAGCAACATCGTCACGGTGGGGTGGCCGCATCCTCATCTCACACGGGCAATTAGCCGCGCAAAGAGCGGGAGATTGACGCTCACACGTGCGTACTTATCTCGCGGCAAGGAGGATTGTACGTCTTGGCTGGCATTTGGCTTTTACCGGAACGATTCTGTTTTTGTGACCGGGCGCACAAAGATCACCTGCAATCGTTGCACAGTGTACGTTTGCAAAATGAGCGCGCTTTCCAGACACACCGAAGTAATAACTGAGACGCTTATTTGCGTTCATCTGTACCTGAGAGTAGGCTTCGTGCTTCATTTGTGGGTGGAAACGTAGGGCACGTCTTGATCTGCTGGCCAATCTGGGCGTAACCTTCCAATTTCTCGATATCGCATTCATTGCTTCGCCTTTGCGGTGAAGCAGTGACTTTTCTTATACAACGTGCTTGATTTCCGAAGCATCAACACTCATGAAAACACCCGCCACTTGGGCTAGGGGATATGGAAATTTCCAAATTGAGTCTCAGGTCTTTTTCTTCACGTTTCCTGCTTTGTATTGCATTAGACAAACGGAACGTACCTCTTTTCTTTTGCCATCAGCATGCCCCAAAGTTCCAGTCCTCCGTCTGTAAGGGTCCCTGTCTTGAAAAGAACATTCAAAAATAAAGTAAAACACTCATACAAAAACAAACATAAGCAAGTATAAGGGTAGGCACAAGTCCCATTTAACTCATTTATGAGCCTTATAAAGAAGATAGCAATATGATGACGCAAATAACTTCTCACAATACTGTATCAGCTAATGGGTAGTACTTAACAGTTAGGTATATCCATGTGGCAGGCGATCACTGAGACAAGCAGACAGGACGAGTGCTCTTTCATTTTCTTTAATTACTCAGGCACAGCAAAAGTAGGGTATAATAAATACACATATCTTTTCGAAAACCTTTACAGCAAAACAAAAGATATGGACAATAGCAAAATTGAATGGCAAATATATCAACTGACCTTTTATTAAAAAGTCTTCATTCATAAATTCAGTGACTCTTTCGTGCACAGAACCCTATTTGTAGCAAAAACAAAGCTTCGCTGGAAATATTACGAGAGCTCTTACAGAAAATTATTTTCTGCATGATAAACTTTAGTAAAATTCGAAAGATATGAGGTGGTGACCTGACGTGACCACCATGCAGTAACAGTTCACTTTTGGTACAACTGCACATCTCTACATTTCTGTGTTTCAGTGAAGAAAACTGTCAACAAACTGGAACACACGATCGAGCACTTATCACGGCAGTATGAGTATGAGAACTTCTCGCGGCAGTATGAGTATGAGGCAGCAGTATGAGAACGCAGTCTGCTGCAATCACAAGGCCGAATTCGAAACTTGAAAACATGGAATCCGCTAACAGCACGAAAGAAATTCCCGAAATAATGAAAACAAGCAAATCCCCTTGCACAATAAATTAGGCTCCGCCCTCTCAATTTCTAATGGAGCCAGTGCTCTCTGCCTTACCAATCCCTTTCCGCATACCATCAAACTGTTTAAAGGCGAGTCTCTTGGATGCGTACAGCCCATTGATAACGGAACAAATTTTTACCGTGCCGCAAGAATCATCCCAAAGTGACCTCGCCGCCGTCAGTGCTCTTAACCACTCTCATCTACAGGCTTCAAAAGTGTTCGATTCGGCGATCGCAGACGGACTGTCACCATCTGAACGATCTGAACTCCTCCAACTGCTGTACCAGTACCGCGAATCTTTCGATGTTGTTCAACCTTCACTTGGCCGCACTTCTACCACTCTACATTACATCGATACCGGCTCCCATGCGCCACTACGACAGCGACCATATCGTGTTTCTGTGACGGAACGCCAAGTTATTACCGAACAGGTGAATGATATGCTGCAACGTGGCATCATTCAACCTTCACAAAGTCCATGGGCCTCACCTGTAGTGCTCGTTAAAAAAAAAAGGATGGTTCCGTTCGCTTCTGCGTGGATCACCAGCGCCTAAATAAGATCACTCGAAAAGACGTGCATCCTTTGCCCAGGATTGACAATGTCCTTGATGCTTTACAAGGTGCCGAGTTTTTTCATCATTAGATTTGCGCTCAGGGTACTGGCAGGTCCCCCTTGCAGATGCCGATCGACCAAAAACAGCCTTCGTGACACCGGACGGTCTGTATGAGTTTAATGTCATGCCCTTCGGCCTCTGCAATGCACCTGCCACCTTCGAGCGCATGATGGACTCGGTTCTTCAGGGTTTGAAATTCGAAATTAAAACCTATGGTGTACAGGTTTTCGATCAAAATAATTCGGTTGAAGGGTTTATTCAATTCGCCAACAAACTTTACTTCCTGAGCGGACCTTGAGGCGTTACACAGATTTTCAGCAAAGCCTGAAATTACTCCCGCGAAACTTGTCCGTTTCATTTCACGAACCATTCAAGATGAGTGATATGAATGAAACTAGAGCTTAGAAATCTTAAGCTAGTGGTTCAATAGAAAGGCAATTTAACACTGCAGAACAAAAAACGTTCGTGGATGTTGAAGCCTCAAGCTTGGGGAAATGCACTGCGTTTTTGCGTGACAAAAAAATGGGAAAGATTTGTACATAAAGCTTCGGGCCAGCAAGCATTGTGCATGGACTACGAAGCTGTTCTTAATAAATTTGCTTGAGCACCTATTCTCTCGCCGTGTTCATGCTTTTCATTCAATACAACAGCTTTTCATGGCTCACAACACTAGGATTGTGTATCACAATTTTTATTCGTTCAACACTTTCGCACGTAACGTGAGTGTATAAATGATAACATGCTTTCCATGAAATTATAAGAAGTTCGAAAAAGAAGCAACCAGATATTCATGCACTTTGACTTACTTGAGCACACTTGTAACCTCACTGGTATTTATTAAAACTTGCTTTCAGGGTGATATCAAACAATTCTATCGGATCTGCGTGGCGAGAAACAGTGATCAGGCGATGCATGCGGCAAAGGGTGTCGAATGATATGAATCGGCTCCCCTGATACCGCAGTCACCGAGCTTCTGCTGCTGGTGAAGGGTGGCCCGCGTGAAAAATCTCACGGGAGCCAGACAAAGTTGTCTTGAAGCATCGTCCGAATCACTAGTGGCCAAGCAGATCAACCTATAGTGAAGCCAGTCTGGGGCCTGGACTCTTCGACAAGTTTCGATATTCGATTGAGTGATTCACTTATATGAGAGGTTTAATGTTTCAAAACCACCATATGATAATGAGAAACGCCGTAGTGGAGGGCATCAGAATTTCGACCATGTGCACCCAAATCTGAGCACAACAGCCTACAACAATTTCGCCTCCATCAAAAATGCAGCTGCGACTGACGGGTTTCGATCCCGCGACCTGCGGTTCAGCAGCCGAAGTTTCGGTATTTGAAATAAGGTGTCCATTATTGTTTCGGTAGAAAAAAAATCAGCAACTTTTGCATGTGTGGCTTTTATTTCCAATCTTCGAATCAATAGAGTGTATATAAAAACTATGCGTACAAATATAATGTGTTTTTGACTTTTTTCTTTTTTTCAACATGCTATATATTTGTGCAGACCCTGCATTTGTTACGTCGATGTGCGGCGCTTCCGCTCTTATCTCTTTTGCTGCCATTGCGCTGGCCTGCTCCTATGTACGTGGGACATTTTTCAGAATGCTTTGAAGTTGAAATTTTTGGTGTTTGTGAGTGCTAACATGCTCAAAATATCGACGAAAATAGAAAAAAACAAATGCGTGCTGCGCTTCTTTGTGGTGCATCAACTTGGGGAGAAACAGTGCAGCAAAATTTTTCCTCTTCCCAGTGAACGACAGTTAAGCACATGCACTTATTGCTCGGTACGAAGAAGCAAGCGCTATCGTTATCAATACAGCTACAGGGCAAACCGAAACTTATCTGTTGTTGCTTTTCAGTGAACCTCCTTTTTTATTATTGGCACTGCACGTTTGTCAGTGATGTAAGCTTTTAAAGCTCTTGTGGGTAGCTTATCGGGAGCCGATTGATGTACAGGTGATGTTTCAGACGGAAATTTCGCTTCAATATCGGTTTCGTTATAGCGGTAGCTCGGTATTATGTTTTTTAGAAGAAATCTTGCAAAGTGTGTTGCCGAATGTGCTTCTTCGATGAACTGGTTCGGCTTTAGAGCATTCTGATGACCAGGTGCTTGCAGTGACATTACCACACTTCAACGTTTAACATAGACCCTCCAAATAGTTTTACGTAGCAGTGACTGCTTGCATTCCATGTTACGAGAAGTTCGTGTTACCTGCGCCTAAGGCCGAGCTAGCGCTTTGCTTTTGAAACTGTGAAACATTCTTTTCGCCCTTTTTCGCACTATCTATATCTGTGTAGTTTTTACATGTCTTTTGATATTCATCCTCTTATTGGCTGCATTTTCTATGTGGGACGTATGGCGGAAATACACGAAAAGGGAAGACCTCAAAGGACTGGCGCAAATTCACAATGGCTACCGCATCTTCTCCAACCACTTCGCCAAACGTACCTTTGTAAACTCGGCTAAAACACGGCTAATGTGGACGGCTGGTCCCACTGTTGCAGTAGAAGTGAGATCCCAGGTCGATGAAGGTAATAAAAACAATTTATTATCGGTGGCGAATATGCGCGCTTTTGTTGTTCGTTTTCATGCACCCTATAACCGGATGCATAATTACCGTTCCATACTTAGGCATGAGTTTAGGGTGTGTCCATTACAGTGCATTTCATGCTTCCACCTCAATGTAAAATTGCCTTACATCGTCACCTACCTAAACGAGACTGATATCGACCTGTTCCTTTAAGAACCTCCCTGGCGGAAGCCATAGCTTCTGCGACTCAAGACCACCATAGCCAAAAGAGCATCGCCCAGATTGCAGGTATGCACAGGCCGGCTTGTTGATTTTGGGCATTAAGCAAGAAGCGCGTATTTTGCTTTGTGTAAAACAAGTATACAGGGTACGGAGCAAAAGTGAACTGTAACAGGCGATTTTTTTATTTCAGCTGCCACAACTTGGCGTTGACATATGGCAGTGAAATTTTTCCCACGTGCGCCAGGGAATTGCGTTATTTTTGTTATGTTTTTCCTATCGGAAGATTATGCGTGGTGGAGGTTGTTCCAAACTGCTTGTGTAGCTAACGATCTGAATATTTTCCAGCTTCTTGGCGCAGGGAAAGAGAAAAACATTTTCTTTTCACAATACCAGAATTCACGCTTGTAAGAAGACGCAGCACCCTTGGCCTTGCTGTGAACAATACATCAATGACTGGCTGTTGTCGCTTGTCGGGCATGATGTTGCAATTGGAAACTACAAATTCACGGAATTAAACCACGTTTTTATAAGAGCGAAGTTTGCGCATACCTCGTGTGATGGAAATACCTCGAAGTCGCTTATTACGCCATGTCTCACGCACGTTTCGTGTCTGTAAAACCGCAGAATTTATTACGACAAAGCCAAGTTTTGCGTATGCGCCACGATGATCTTAAGTTTTATTGGGCAGTATGTTAGAAATTGGACAGGAGCAGGTCTACACGTGCCCGTTGACAGCAGCTTTTAAATTGTTTGAACCTAATTACCTCTCCTGGGTAGTGTACAAAATGGCAAAGCGACAGTAAATAGAAAAACTCTTTGCAATACTACAATATTCTGAGCCAGCAAATAAGACAACACCAATGGTGAACATGTTACGTGAATGTACAACAACAATAAAACTTGGAGCAATACTTACCGTCTCTTAGAGGAATATTTTTAGTAGAAGTCATTGGGGGGGGGGGGCAAAGATATACAATTGCAGATCAACCGCTTGAGTTAGGAAGGGCCATTTTACGGAAAACGTGCTGAAGCTAATTAAATCATGCGTACCTAAATGCCACTCATTCTGCATGCGGATATACCCATGCATGCAGATATTTCTACGGAATCACATGCCTTCTCGTGAGCTATGAAGGCTGTGTATAGTGGTTGGCTGTATTCTGCAGATTTATCGATCTCCTGGTTGGTAGCATGAATGTGGTCGATTATTGAGTAGTCTGTCCCTAATTCTGCTTGTTCTTTTGGTTTATTGCATTGTAACCTTGTTTTAATTCAAGTCATGCCCGCAGAGCTAGTTAGTGTACAGTGTGTCGCCACAATCACATACAATGGTGATTTTAGCGCTACAAATTACGTACACATGTGAGGGTTAGACGGCAAACTGTGTCTGGCTTTACTTTGTCTCTCACATGTGTGCACTGTTGTTCTTTATTTAATTTTTTATACTACTGCAGCCCGGTAAAAGGGCTATTGCAGGAGTGAAGTTCTACAGTGCAGAAAACTTGCAAGAGCAAAGATACATAAAAAGCAGCAACTAAATAACGATACAACATATGATAACAATAAAGGAATTAAGGTTTTGCTACATAATCATGTTCAACCACAATAGTAACATAATAGTTCAGGGAGAGTGATCGAATGTGACCAGGTAAGGAATTCCGTATTTCTATTGTTCGGGGAAACAAACTATACTTGAATCTATCTGTGCGTGCAAAATATGAAAGGAAACACGCGAACGCATGGCCTGCACTCTGCGGTGGCTGCCTACAGCACCATCAACCGACAAGTGAAGAAAGCACGTTTGCTTTTGGCTGTCATCTCTGGTCAAGCAAGATAACGAGTCATGGCCGGTGGAAAAGCGCTGCTAGATTGCACTCCCTCTCTGCTCAGGCCTGCAGTGCCTAGTCCTCTGCAAACATATCAAATGTTGTGCGCGACCGCGGCGCAAGGTGCAGTAATCACCCGATATCACTCGCCGCGCGAGTGGTGAGGGAACGTAATATAGCAGCGCTTGTCCACTGGCCATGACTCGCTATCTTGCTTGGCCATAGATGACGCCGAAATCAAACGTGCTTTCTTCATTTGTCGATTGATGGGGCTGTAGGCAGCCGCCGCATAGTGCAGGCAATGCGTTCGCATGTTCCCTTTCATAAAGAAGAATAGTGTACGTCTTTTGTAGCGCTAAATTTATTATGTGATGTAAGCACAACAATGTCTGCATAGTCAGACACTTGAGTACTCTAAAAGACTGTCTACAGCTCGGAAAACGTTTGCTGATTGTGGCGCCAATAAGATTGTTCATCACAGTCTCCGGCAACGAGCATGCTGTCGTCCCGTAAAAAAGGAATTATAATTTTAGCTCGATACTGAACGTCATCCAAAAATGACCACCTGCGTCACCCAACAGCGGTATGGTCAATCTATTGGTGGGAGGAGCAATCCCCACAAGTTGACTTTTTGCTATAAAAACAAACATATATTACTTGAAATTGAAGTTTATGCACTTGATGCAGCTTTAGGTTGCGCCAGAGAGTAATGTTTGCTTATTTTTCAGCGCGTTCAAAGAGGCGCCTGTAGGCACTGCGGGCGTTGTGTTTGCTTGCCTGCATACCTGCCTGCAAACGGCGGAGAAAACGTAAGACATAGCACGTCTACCACCCCTCATAAGAACAATGAGAAAGTGTACGTTTTCGTAAACGAGCACGAAGGTATTTGTTGTATCAATACACAAAACCTAATGAAGCCCGCAAAAGCCGCAGGTGGTTTCAGTTTCGACTTTCCCCGGCAGTTCAATTGTTATTGTCTTCACGTGGGCGTTCATCCCAGTTATGGAAAAAGACAAAACGTCCTATCAATACATTTTGTTTTATATGTTTGTGCACACTTTCCAGAAAAACCGGTGGAAGGTTAGACACCTCAAATGGTACGCTTTTGATTGCGGCACAAAGCAGAAAAGCAGTGAAAGGCGGTAGATAGACCCTTTAACCACTTTTCTGGGCAGCAGTGGTACGGTTCCTTCAGGCTGCACCACTGGCTGCCCGTCACTAATTTCATGGTCCATACTACTCAGAACATCACCACTTTGTTTAAATATTTATTTGTTTATTGTGCCTTGCGTCAATTTTTGTGTAATGTAGAAATTCATTATTCATGGCTCATTTCTTACAAGTTTATATCTCTAGTAACCCTACACAACCTACAATAAGTATAAACAAAAAAAGCAAGTGAACAAAGAGATGACTACCTTCAACTAGCGGAGCAAAGCCATTTTCTAACGCAATCCTTATTGTATCTTTCGACAGTCATGCTTTGACTGCACTGAGCGATACGAACTTAAATGTGACAGCGCTACAAAGACAGCAGGGAGACCACTCTCACTCCGAAAAGGCGGATTGGTGCAAGAATACTTACCTTGTCGAAGCAGACGACGTCGATGTTTCCCGCCGTGTTGATCCTGTGTGGACTGACGCAGTAGATTGAAGCCCGCCTGAGCCGTTTTAGTGCGTACACCGATGCCACTGTCATGGCGGCTGGCAGTGCAGGGGGAACGGCGATAGTAACGATGTCCAGGGCACGAAGCACGGTCTCTCGCAAGCTTACCTGTAGGGAGACGTGCTACTTCACTTTCGTCGCAAAAATGTTGCACTTTCTATATCTTTTGGTTACATTTTATACTGAGCTACTGTACTGTTTCCCTGCGACAGAGAGTTTGGGGGCTTCCAAAGAATCCGAACGTGCAAAAAAAAAAAACACAAAAGAACAGCGTAAACCCGACAAACACACCGAGGAAAAAAACACTCAATCTGTGTCCTCCTCGTCTAAAGTCTCCTTCAGGTTCACGCTAGTTTTAAAGAGTATTGTGTTGGTCATTTAAAATTATTTGACAATACGTAAACCTCTAATAAATGTGCGCTTCACACATTACGTCAACATGACCTAAAGTGTTAACGCCTTGAAAAATGATAACTTGAAACTAGGGGTGGGTGAATAGCAAACGTTAGATTCCAATTTAGGACTAATAAAATAGCGATGGCATCCCATCGTGCACGAATGATATTTGATTATGATTCTAATAGTTTTCGAATGCTACGGTAACCATGTTCAAAGCAGTCCTATAGAATAGTAGTGTAACCTTTTTTAAAAGAGCTTAAAAATTCTTCAACATTTTACTTCAAACAAATTTTCATAAACTCTAGCAAATAACAGTACGAATATTATTAGGCTATGAAATTAACATAATTATTAGAGTGAGGCACTCTTCTATACAACAAAAACTAGAGTTAAGTACAATGAGTACCAGGGCTAGTTCTTGTCCGGACATGTAGAGATGCAATAAATGAGTCAATTCGGTGTACACATGCCACTTCTTCAGTTCAAATCCTTCATCAGATGAAAACCAGAATATCCAGCGCACATCCGGAGCCTGCACTAGGCTAATTACCGAACTAGAATCTTTACAAAATTGCGCAAGCAGGTTCATTCATTCTTCATACTCATATTGTATAAGTATATATTTCTAAAACATGAAATAGATGTTGACAATTTGCAAGCGTCACTGCATCACCAGTCTCTGGTTAATTCACAGATTATTTCACAGTTACCTCAATGAAGCCCGTTACACCATCCTACCATGGCAAATATCTCACCGCATTACCCAGCCTCATTCAATCGCACGCACTCGTGCTCACACTACTGATTTTTCCGCCTTAATTTTTTCTTCACGCAGCAGTGTACTGGAATGACCTGCACTGTGACACCGATGTTTGCGGCCAACACAACTGCATATTGTTTGTCACTCTCTGCAACCCACACAACCCGTACTTTTATGTAATATCGCCTAACCGGGCTCTTTAGGGTCATTAAAGTGAAGTGAAGTGGCGGGCTTTGTCTTACCGACTTTCCTACCGTGCCCGTTTTCACCAAACGTTACTATGAACCACAACTAGAGCCTTGAAAATATTTGGTAAATGCAGGTTGGAACATAACAGCAACTGCAGCATTCGAAGAGACACATTGGCAGCATCTTTTCAGGGAAACTGAAATATAAATATTAAAAAAATATTCCTGAGTCAACACTACTATGAAAGTTATAAGAAATATAGTAAACTGAGGAGTCTGCCGCGTTGGAAACACTGATGTTTGAAGCGACAATGTCTTCATCCCGTCATCAATGCCTTGCCGAAAATCAAATAAAAATGCATGTGCACTTATAATTTGATAATTACAGCATGAAACGCCAACCATCTCTCCTGCAATGCTTCGTTTTCATTACTCAATGTTTAACAATTATTGCCATTTGAAAAATATTCGGAATAATTTCATATTTCTGACATACGTGGTTAGGTTCGAGTACCCACTCGAATACAACGATATTCGGTTGCTACTCTAAATGTTCGAATATTGGCACAGCTCTACAAAGGACACTTCCGCGGTCGAAGCTAGATCGCCTAGTTTTAGGTTTGCGCGTAGGACAATGAATGAGGAAGGTAATAAAAGCTTATGTAGCCTGATATCACGTGACTTGGTTAATACTAGCTGGTGAAGTTGACGCGTCAGTAAAGGGATACTGCCAGAAAATTTCACGCTGTAGAGTGACGTTCATTCGAGTTCACGGTAGGTATATGTCTTTTCAACTGAATGGTGTCAGTCTTTTGAATGTATATGTCTTTTGAATGGTGTCAGTCTGCTGAGAATTTCTTTTATTTTAAGCACAAAGATTGTTCCGTCCTACTCCATCGAGATTACTGTCACTTGCTCGATGAGATCCGTACGATCTTCAGTGACAAGGCGCTCGGAATCACGACATCGATGCCTCAAAATGGGTTTCGCCTTATGCCCGATTTTGCGATGATTTGCTATGTGGCGTTCAGTTACTCTGTCGGGGGACCACTGCAGCCTTGTTTTTCTAAAAGCTGAGAGAATGTATCGCTTTATCACGACAACAAGTAATCAAGGTAAACTATTGTATAAAAATCCACTACAGGTAGCAACGTTCATCGGTTTCTGCCCTTTGTTTGCCGACTTAGGGCTCCGAGATCGGCCTCGAGCAGGGCTGGCATACTGCCTGCGATGTCGTGACATGTAGAAGCCTGGCGACGGTGAACGGTAAGGTCGACGCTGTGCCGATAGCGCTCCGGTGAGGGTGTCGGCGATGTTGAGCGGGTGCTCACCCCGCTGTGGACTCGGTGCATGGACGTCGAAACCCCGTAGACTCATGTGTCGGTACTAGCAGCGATAGTAGGGTGTGGCCCGCTTCTCCGCAGTCATAGCTAAGAGGTCTGTGGTTTGGGGCACGCGACATGTTGGTTTTCCTCGGAGTGTTGTGCTGGCTGGTGGATGGATGGTATGGCGTTGGTGGCGGTGGCGGCAGTGTCTGGTGGTTGAACTGTCATGGGGCAGTGTCCTTACACCGGGCGTCGAGCAGTGATACAGGCGTGGAGGAGCCTTGACAGCTTATAGCTTCTGGTTCAATGCTGTGGTGCTTCCTAGATTCCAAGCGACAGCTGAACGTCTTAATGGACAATGCAAGTGATCAAATTAACTTGAGGTTGCGGTGAAGATATCAGCTTTCGCAGCTCCTCCCACTCGATCGTTCGAATGGTCTCACGCATGTCATCGGTGCTGAAGGCTTAGGTGAAGCTGAATAACTAGTGGTGGTTGTAAGGCATTGTACCCATCTCAAGCGCCTTTTTTCATAGTCGTGACCTCCGTAAGAACGTCATTGACAGCCTTGGGTAAGTTCCGGACAAATGCCCTGCAAACAGCTCTTGCTTCACTTCTCGCACCAGGAACTGGAGTTTCTTTTTCTCAGCCATGGCGAGGTCGGCGTGAAGAAACAGCCGTGTCATCTCTTTGACGAAGATGGCCACGTTTTCATTAAGGAGTTGAACCCATGTCTCAGAAAGGTGGCGGCCTTTCCTTGCAATAAACGTTCGTGCAGCTGCTCAGGAACGTTGGCCGAAAGAGATCCCAGATTCGTAGCGTCGATTATCGATTCTCGAACTACGTCGTTTGGCATCTTGTAGGTAGAATTATACCGGCGTAGTTTTTCTTCAGGGTCCCAGCTGTTCAAGGCACTGACTCTGCCGTACGTCTCGATCCAGCTTTCCGGGTCCTAGATTCGCTATCTACGGAATGTTGGCCGATGCTTGGGCTGCCAGAGAATGATTTGGGCAGGCTGCTCGAGGGCGGTGAACGTTGCTGCTTGATGTCAGTATCCTGGCTGTTTCAGAAATGGATCTCGTACTCTAGTTGCAGTTTCCCTCTGCCTTCAGCTTGTTCGCTGTTCGGAGTTGGCGTCGGTGTCTTCTTGGCCACTTATGTGAGTTACACGGTTTGACTGTGGCATCCGGATTATGAAAGAAGCAGGGCCTCTACTACATGTCACGGGGTCGTGACGTGGATGAAAGAACGAGACTCGCTGTTCAGATCAAACTTTAGTCCGCCAAACTTCTGTTATGGCCGTGTTGTATGCGTATTCACATCGGAATGTTCTACGAATATCTCGATGGTTTTTTTTGTCAATCGCTGTGGTTGCTCATGGCAGCGCTTGCACATGTAAGGGGGCAATACCAACACTTCAGAAAGGAATGTGGCAATACGATTTATGTAAGTGGTTCGCCGTTAATAAGTTTGACATTATGGACTTCATGACTTACTGGTATTGTGACAGGCTATCAGAATAAATAGGTCTAAAATTGAAGCCCGGCTATAAAACTTTTTCTGATCATTTTATTTTCTGTTGCAATTGGTTAGTGTATGTTATACAAAACATAGCCGTGACGGAAATACGTCAGAGAAGTGGTGGTTGATCCAGGATAGAAACACTTTCCTAAAAAAAACAGTCCTCAGTTGCATTCACACCCGAAACCAGTTCCTTTTGACAGCATTGACTATCCGCACCACTGATATGCTTTTATTATTTTTCTTGTGAAATTTTCATTTCCTTGATTTATTTTTTGTGTATAATATTGTAACATACGAGAGCCACTCGCTCGAACACAGTCCGACACAACACTGTCTTTGTCGTTCCCTTTTCCCGGTCTATCCCTCACGCACTGGTTACACGGTTGCTATAATCCACAATATTTACCACCACCTCTCCCCTGGAGTCGGAGCCAGAAGACGAAGAGGCGTGAATGTAGACATCACGCGGCACATAAAGTTTCAACTGGCTACCATAAGCGGGAAAAACACTGGTTTATGCTTTTGGTGCCAAGTTCGGGAATAACTTCCTGGCGGCACGTAACACGGCGTAGGGCTGTCACCACGTGAAATTGGCCGGCATGCCGGAGAAAAAACTTCGGGCAACGCTTTGGAACACGCTGGTTACGTCGAACCAGCACAAGGTCTCCTGTTTTGAAAGGGATGTGGTTCTCGTTGGAAGGCGAGCCGATTTTCGCTGGACGATGCACTACAGCCAGGTGTGCTCTAAAGCGAGCCATCCGAAAAGCTCCGAATTACTGGTGTCACCCAGACGGTTTTGCGTGGTTGTGTTTACACGCAAGAAGCTTCCTTGCGGAAGCCTTGACGTCATTCTATAGACAAGCTTGAACGGTGACTTCCGTGAGATTTTCTGCTGTGACGTATTGAGGTCAAAG